CTAAGTCCTGACTGGGTACCTGTATTTGTGTGACAAAAAGGAAGAGTTATTCCTTTATTCTATATTTCTCCTTTGCCACCAGCTAACCCAAGTAAATCAACGCTCTTGAGTCACAAGCATGTTTTTCCTTTAAAATATTTTGCTGGGGTGCCTGGGTGGCTCAGTCAGTTAAGCGTCTGCCTTCAGCTCAGGTCATGGTCCCAGGGTCCTGGGATCGAGCCCCGCATCGGGCTCCCTGCTCGGCGGGGAGTCTGCTTCTCCCTCTCCCACTCGCCCTGCTTGTGTTCCCTCTCTCACTGCCTCTCTCTCTCTGTCAAATAAGTAAATAAAAAAAAAAATCTTAAAATATTTTGCTAACCCATTCAGGCTCATTTTAATGGAATGAGAAAAGAAGAAAATGCCTTACAGTCAAGGGTTATTTTATAATATGGTCCATCTCTCTTTGGCAGGTTTGCTCAGAAGAGACTGATTTTAGGTTTTTTGTTTCTTTCCAGTATCCAATGACTGTGATTAATTTTTAATTTTTTTTGTAAACAAAGGTAACTTTACACATCTAGTGAAAAAAAAATCACACATTTCCTTTTCTTCATGCTCACGTTCTAAGTATGAACAAACCTCTACACTTTCCTACACTTCGGGGAAAGTGATCACTCTAAATCTTGCAAGTTGTTCTATTTTCAAGAGGTTTGGGAGTGTCCCAGGACAGACTCGCTTCTCCTTGCTTCGTTGATTTTCCTGTGCAGCTTAAAGACAATGATAGTATGCAAAACGAAGAGCACTATTACGTTTATTTTGTCCACTCCTCCAGAAAGTCTAAGAAACTAGAAATATTCTGCATACTCGTGTGCACTTTCTTCTTAACTCTTCTTCGGCTAAATCGGCTAGCCAATGGTTACTAGCATCATAAACAAGACTGTCAGTGTTACACATGTGTGTCCTGAAAGTTAAAAAAGAAAGTTAACATCAAAATAATTTTATTGACTGATGCTACACATTAATCTTTTGGTTACTATGAGATAAACAATGAAAATTAATCGGTTAATGTGGCATGCAAAACAAATGCAAAATTAGTAAGTTATCTAACCTCAATGTGGACTTTAGAGTTTAATAGCTATAGCAACACCAACTAAAATATGACACTTGAGTTTTTTAGTTTCTTGAAATTAAGTAGCCAAGTTAGAATTAAGATACTTCCAGATTAAAAGTCAAAGAAAACCCCTGACATGTGCATTAGAGAAAAATTTCATCAAAAGACACCTCGAAGAAGACACAGAGAACGTTTCACAGATATGTTTATATTAAGTTATTTTTGTCATAATTTTGTATAACATAAAAGAGATGTAAGATCTATAAGCATGACTTAAAAAGATACCATAAAACAAATCTTGGTATTTCCAAACACTGGAAACTCTAAAAGCCACCAAGCAAAAAGGAGAAACAAATACAATACAAGCCAATCATCTCATGATGCGAACAGTCACATTGAAGGCATTCCTATTTGTAAGCCCTAACGTCTCCACCTTTTGGCTTTTCCCTCCAAATATTTGTGGCATTGCTAGCATCCAGTCATTTCAATAAACTGATTGCAAAACACAAGATGAGATGATGAGTGGAGAATGGGTGACATGTCATGCTAATGAGAGATCCAATGTGTTAGTCACTCAAGAAAGAAAAGCCAGTCTGACAAGATAATAGAGGTCTGAGCCCCTATTATCCTTGAACGGTCATGGATAAATCCTGCCCGAGTGGTACGGATGGACATTTTACAAGACACAGAAATGTGACTTCATAAAACCATATACCTTTTATGATTTACCAGAAGGTCTTACTTCTGAGGCATCACCAGTCACAGTTAAATTATGAAACATAACATTGAGTGCTTTGCTGTTTTCATGAGTGTAATAAGAGCTGAATAGTAGAGAAGGAAAACATAAATTGAATCATATAATTTTAATTTCAACCGAAAAGCAGTATCAGCATTTCCTTACAATCACATCCCTTTGAACTAAAAACTTACGGGAACCCTACATTTCTAAAAGAGGTTAAGTAAATCCTCTGATAGGCAAACACAAAGGATCACCAGGTGAAGGGACACGATCACCTTCACACTCATTAACTCTTTTCCCTGTCCCTATTAAGATCCAATTTTTAATTAAATCGGTATGAAATCAGGAGCATAACCAGGAATGTACAAAGTTAGCTCTTACCTTCAACAGCTTTTACTTCCAAAACAAGGCAAGTGGAGTGTTTTTTAAGTGCACATGAAAAAGGCAAATTCTTTCTTAGGGGTTTGCACAAGTTTCCTCTGATTCAGAAATAGAGGAATTTGGTTTACTGCAAAACCCCAATAAAATTCAAAACAAATATTCCCTCCTTCTACGTTTCAGCACTTTGCATCCCACTGAAACCAACATGGCCAATTATTTTCCTGAAAAGTATGTAAAGAAACTGAAGCTGCCCAGAGAGTGCCCAGTGAACTCCACATTCCTTCCCCACCCCTCTTACCTGCCAGGCCCCAGAGCATTGGCTTTGCAAGGTAAACCCACAATGCTCTAATTCAAAAGGAGAGCCAGAACAAGGGCAAGGAAGTACATAGGGTGGGTGGTTTACTTTTTTTCCCACAGTAGTTTTGCTCAAGCATCAGTACCAACTTAACTCACTTTATATGACTTCGAATTCTGTACATTTTTGTTGGACTCTAAACCACATTCTTAAAAAGTTTCTGAAACACCTGAACTTCTATTTTACTACATTTGGTATTAAGCATCTAGAATACTTTATTGGCAGTAAACAAATATCTATTTAAAAGCTCACAAGACCCAGTGGTCAGATAGTTTTACTAAAAGACTGAACCATTTGGTGACTTAAAGAACATTTACATACTTTAGCTTACAATAGGCTTCAATAATATTGTTAATTTAAGGAGAAAGGTAAGAAGAGTTCAGAGGGTAAAAAGTAGATAGCTCACATCACCCCTCAAATTAAAACAGGCCATTTAGTGACAGCATTAAAGCAGAGTTGTTTTTAATTAAGGGGAAAAAAAATAGGCAGTAGGGCAGTTTAGAAATAATTCAAGTTTATATAAACTCTACGGTAAGAAACAGTCAAATCTATAAAACAGAGGAGGGTCAATTTAAATAATCCTCTGTCTACAGAATAGGTTCAGAGCCAGCTATGACCTTATACTTAACACATGCACATTCAAGGCAGATCAGATGTTTCAAATAATACTGATTTTTTTTCCTATGTGCAGCTGTTCTACCATCCCAGGGCTTACCAATGTGCCAAGCAATGTTCTACCTTCTTTACAGGGGGCAATTCATTTGATCCTTACTACAATCCCCTGAGGCAGGTGATATACGCCCCCCACTTTACAAATAAGAAGCATCAGAGAAGTGAAGTTGCCCGTTGTCCCATGGCCCGTACTTCAGCCCAGGGATGATTCAAATCAAGCGGTCAGGCTCCTGGGCCCATCCTCTGAACCACGGGGCTGTTTTTAGCTGTTTCGGCATGTTTTCATATATCCAACTCAGAAAAAGGCCTGATCACAGGCAACCTGCCAAATCTATGAGAGGTTGATTTTTCCCTAGGTTTTTGCTTCTGTGTAACACACAGATCTTACCAGAAATTGTACTGAGTAGGGAAACAAGGTGAGTTGGTTAATAGATTGCAAAGCGAGAATGTGCTTTCAAATCACTTTCCTATGAAATGTTAATGTCCTTGAATCTACTGAAAAATTAACGAGAGAAGAAAAAAGACACAAAGTCTGTTTACCCAGGGCAGTAATGACAGAGAAAAGGAGTAAAGGGAGAGCATGTCCAAAAAGGCAATTAAGCTAAGAAAGTTACCTTCTGATATAGTGTCAAGTTTTACTGGAGAGAAGCTAAGAACAAATTTTTTTAAATCATCAGAATTTCTGCTCACCCTGATTTTCCATAGTGCCAGAAAATTTTGACTAGAATTAGGGTACCAATTATAGTACCAGCAACAAGTCCTTGAGGGGGAAAAAATTTGGTAACAAAGTTAATAGAAACATGAGCAAGTACATATACAATGCAGTTTCACAATGACAAGCACACCAGTTACGAGCCAAGTTAAAGAAAAACAGGAGACGTGAATTCTATTTTGTGTATGGCTTTCTTATGTCACAAGTTTGACAGTAAAAATTGCATGCTATTTATCCTTTCGGTCAAAGAAAAATAAAACAAAATATTTAAAGTATCACATACTCAAATAAGATGTGTTTAACCCATTGGAGAGGCTTCCGAAGGGTTTCAACCCCACCAGGCTCAATTTTAAATGCTTTGCTCATTGGTCATTCAAACATGACGACTGCGGGGGTGCCTGGGTGGCTCAGTCGGTTAAGCGGCTGCCTTTGGCTCCGGTCATGATCCCAGAGTCCTGGGATCGAGCCCCACGTCGGGCTCCCTGCTCAGCGGGGAGTCTGCTTCTCCCTCTCCCTCTGCCTGCCTCTCTGCCTACTTGTACTATCTCTATGTCAAATAAATAAATAAAATCTTTAAAAAAAACCATGATGACTGCATTATGTAATGTTAGCACTAGAAGGTATCTTAGAGTTCACATTGTGTAGATGAGTAAACTGAGTCTCAGAGAGATGAGGGCTACATATGTGGTTAATAGGAAGGCCATTTACTTTGTTCCTAGTAAAGATAAGAGCTATAGGCATTTCTCCATCACAGGAAAGGTAATATCACCTGTGCATGGAGGCTGAAACATATTTATGTTGCTTACAGAATATGCTGTTCAGTGTTTAGTCTGTTGTCGATACAATTTCATTTAGGAAAGCATTATTTTGAGATTAAATGCACTATTTTGAGTTGTATGACAGAAAAGTAATTGGTCAAATAAGTTGGTCAACAGTAATTTTTAAAGATTTTTATTTATTTTTTTGACAGAGACATAGCGAGAGCAGGAACACAAGCAGGGGGAGTGGGAGAGGGAGAAGCAGGCTTCCCGCAGAGCAGGGAGCCCGATGTGGGGCTCGATCCCAGGACCCTGGGATCATGACCTGAGCCGAAGGCAGACGCCCAACGACTGAGCCACCCAGGCGCCCAGTCAACAGTAATTTTTATAGTTTATTTTCACACACAGTCTTTCTTCTTCCAAACCACCCATGTGCCCTTTCTCTGTAACATTCTCAGTCTCCCTTTTCCTGCCTACTCCATCCTGCAATGTCCTTGAACTCTATTCTTTTGATCTGTATTGCAAAGGAAATTACAGATGACACTAGGAGAGCAACTGAAAGTAATGTGACCAAGTCACAAATTGGTTCCAAATCAGCAAACGCTCATGTCACACAATTGCACTGTCGTATGGATACATGATTGAAACAGCTATTTCTACCACAGGTAGGTTTTTACAGTATTTTACCCAATCAGTTTCTTTAACTGATTCCCTAGCACCATATCATTAGCTTGGAAAGACTGTATTCATAAAATCAATCATGGCTCCTCAAAAATTTGGGGTTCTTTTCCCTTCACCACTCCCATTTGTTCCACCATTTTCAATGGTTGTAAAACCATCCCATTTTCAATTTGAATGATAAATGAAGACAGAAAATTTTCAAGTGATCCAGAGTATCTAGATGGCTGAACCAAAATCTTATTCTTAGAACACTGATCAGCACATATATGTAATTCTAGAAGAATGTGTGCAGAGACTGAAAACTAAATAAAAACTGAGAAAGTTTTAAATAGGTTGTTCTTCCTTATAATCCTATTTAACATAACAGAATAAAGGAACTGAGGTCTGTGGACAGGTGAAGTCACACTGGAAAGAGGCTTTTATAGGAGGAAAAAGAATGTGCTTCAGTAAACCTTAAATTTTCAGATTTACAAATCAGAATTCAACCCCACTTCCTCGGCAACATCCATAGGACCCTTGAAGGGTTTTGTTATTATCATTGGATTTTCTTTGCCTCTGTATTTTTTAGGTGAGGGAAATTCAAATGCTTCTCTTGCCAGCCTAAGCAGATCAATGAAAAATTAGATGATTATGTTGTCTGATTTCTTAACTTCAAATAACTTGTAGGTAACTGAAGTTACTTATAATGGGATTTAAGTTCATCCTTCAGAGAGAAGGTCATAAGACACAGTGAAGACCTGATATAGCATCTGATGCATTTCAAAGTACTACTGATGATTCAAGACTCTTGAAAGTATGCCTCCATTTGGGCTAGTCTATACCATATGCCATATGCAGGTGGATGTACAAAGCCAAAGTTAATCAGCATGTGATATTTGAAGGATACAGAAAAAGCATTTTAGATATGTCACTGAGTAGTCTTTAATTTTTTTCTTAAATATTCCTTCAACTGACCTATTAATCCCCATAAGAGATTTATGAACATCACGATATAGGATTTCAGCAATGGTGGGGGGGGGGGGGAAGTAAAGAATCAGGACTACATTAATTGTCAAATTTGAGTTGTGCAGATTTTCACATAGGACAAGAATCTATCCTTTCAAGTGCTGGAGAAACGAGTCATCTGCCTCTGCTGAAGCGCCTAATAGATGTGTGACCTTGGGCAAGTTACAAATCTTGCAGAAATCATTCTTTCAGATTAAAAAATGGGACATAGAGGGGCTCCTAGGTGGCTCAGTCAGTTAAGGAGCTGCCTTCTGCTCAGGTCACGATCCCAGGGGCCTAGTATGGAGCCCAGCAGGGAGCCTGCTTCTCCCTCTGGGGCTCCCCCTGCTTGTGCGTTCTCTCTCTGTCAAATAAATAAAATCTTAAAAGAAAAATTAAAAAATTAAAAATGGGACATAGATACATTATGTTTTGGGAAGTAAAATAAAAATATAAAAATTTCAGTAGAGTACTTGCCACGCAGCAAAAATGCAAATATTACCTTAATAAAGGACTGTTCTTACTCTTTGGTGTGGCCAGAGGGAATGATAAAACTGTCAGAAACCCATTTTAGGGGGCTTCTGGGTGGCTCAGTCGTTAAGTGTCTGCCCTCGGCTCAGGTCAGGATCCCAGGGTCCTGGGATCGAGCCCCGCATCGGGCTCCCTGCTTGGCGGGAAGCCTGCTTCTCCCTCTCCCACTCCCCCTGCTTGTGTTCCCTCTCTCGCTGTGTCTCTCTCTGTCAAATAAATAAATAAATAAATAAATAATCTTAAAAAGAAAAAAAAGAAAGAAACCCATTTTAGGAAAATAATAGCGACTGCACTACATGACTGCTTTAAGTTAATATTTATTCAATGGTTAGCACTGTGCTGGAGTTTTCATATCTATTATCTCATTAAGCTTCAAAGACTTTAAACAGGGATCATAAATGAGAAAACTGGGACTCAGAAAGATTAAGTTCAATCACTTGGGTTGAATAATTACTAAATTAAAAAAAAAACAAACCAACAGGATTCAAACCAAGGTCTGGCTGACTCCAAAACACAAGCCTGTCTTCTTTACAATGTTGGCATAAAAAAACAGAAACAAAAGCAAATACAAAACTACATATAAAAAAACAAAAACAAAACGAAACAACTATATAGAGCATGTATTCTCAATGGGGGGTATTATCCCAAAAGGGTGAAAAGAAAAATCTTACTTTTCTGTATATAAAGTACAGATATACATACAGAATATAAATAGATTTACAGTATGTCTGTGGTAGTGAAATTTCACGGGGGGAGGGTGATTGGAAAATAAAATGTCTAAAAAGTTCCTTGAGGGGCAGAGGGCAATAATGAAAAAAAGGTTTTTGAGAAACAGTGATACAGAGCCAGTAGAATAGCTTTAGACCTCACAATAAAGTCTTCACTTACATGGCAAATAAGGGAGTTCTGAGATTAGTCAGTCTCTCTTTCTTAGCAGAATTAAACAGGAAAAAATTCAAATACTTCCAAAGTTCTAGTATCCTCTATATCACTCACTAACATTGCAGTGTAGTCAAGAAAAGCAATTTCCTTGTAAGTAGAGTTTGCTTATCTTTAAAATAAGAAAAGTGGCAGGAATAAAAGGCACAGCATAGGGAATTTAGTCGATGACATTATAATAGCTTTGTATAGTGACAGACAGCAGCTGCACTTGGGGTGAGCACAGCATAATGTACAGACTTGTCCAATCACTATGTCGTATACCTGAAACTAATACAACATTGTGTATCAACTACAGTCAAATTTTTAAAAAACTGATAAAACAAAAATGAGAAAAGTGACCCGATGCACAGAATAAATTGAAGAAATAAAGATAATTTTTAGGTTTATATTTTACAAGTATAAGATCCCAAAGAAAAATATTGCCATATGTCTGATTTAAGAGGGAAAGAGCTCTTTATTTTTGAGCACAAGTTAGAATTACATCTAACCCTAAGGGAAAGTTTCTGGGAGATCACATAGTACATACTTCAAGAATTTCAGAGAAAATAAACCCCTCAAACCTTCATTGGATGCCACTGAGCAGGTGAGAAAAAGCCCATCCACTAAACTCATCATTGTTAACATTAAATGATGAAATCATGAAGTTTTCCTTTAGAATACATTTATTTCTATTTAAAATATCAAACAAAGCGAATTCCAACTGTTCAAATCTTTCAAGATAAGTATTTTAGCTAAGGAGAGGTTCATTCAAAATATAAAAGAACTATAAATAATAATAATAATAAAAAAATACCTACTTTCAGCTTCAGTCCCTTGTCTCATTCATGCATGCATAGATAGGAGACCTTAGCTTACAAGGACATAATTTTAAAATATTCACTTTTTTTTTAAGCGTGTATTTTCCGTTGGGCATTCCTTATTAATATGCCAACTTAGCTGTATTGCTTCTTTTTTTAAAATTTTATTTTATTATGTTAATCACCATACATTACATAGCTGTATTGCTTCTCAAACATTTCTTTTATCATCTTCTTTAGGAGTTATTAATCTTCTTGTTAAAATGTATAACATCAAATAATATATTTATGAACAACAAAAAAAAATACTGGAATAAAGGCCAGAAGACATTGCAACACAGATATGTCCTTATTTCTATAGCAACAGAATAATTTTAAAGTTTTCTTTGCTTTAAATCACTGACAGGGAAGGGGAAAGGAAGAGAACGTAATCAAAGGTAGCATTCCGGTTTATTTGGAATAGAAGTCTAGAAACAGTCAAGGAGTAGTTTGTGAGTACTTAGGCAATACTTGAGGCTTAAAAACTGTATTGACAACAGCCTCCTTCTTGTTGTTTTTGGCCCCTAAAATGATGATGCATTGAGACAATAGGCATTCAAGGATACTTGATTGACTGGCCAAATGATTTGAAGTTGCCCTAAAATTACCCTGGAACAAGAACATGGTCGGGAATACTTAGGAACATACCGAGTACCTATTGGTGTCCACCAAACACGTCGATAAACTGCATTTACCTGTCTTCTCTTTGACACTCTTAAACATTTCATTTTAATAGTATTCCTAAGACAGTAAAAAGACAATATTCTCTTCCAGGAATATGGATTGTACATCCCACAGTGATGACAATTTTTTTTAACTGCTGAAGAACCAAACTTACCAATTGCAATGATGGCAGCATCTGAAGAAAAAAAAAGAAAAAAATAATTACAAAAATAAAAAAAAAATGTAAAGCCATTGATCTGCCAGCAATTTAACATATATATCCACAGAATGTACTTGAAAGTTCAAAAGTAACTCAGATTTTCATAACTAAAAGAAATAATTATAAATAAATTAATGAAAACAGTTGTATATTAACTTAGTCAAGAAACATATACACCAGTGCCTATATCTATTCAACAGAGTCAACACTATAAACATGAAACCTGATAAAGAGTGAGTGAATATTGAAACAAACACCATATAATTCAATTATATGACTTGATGGCAAGAAACAAATTTGAAAGCTTATATAGTAAATAACTGTGATCCAATCCTATGATCAAGAAACTATCACAAACTGAAGTCTCTCTCAGCAGACTCTATCAAAAGCTCAAATTACTTCATTTTTTACCTTTCAAAGACTACGAATGTGGCACTGCAAAAATTACTTTCAAATAAATATATTTATAATAATATGCTGCTCTCCTAAGTAGTGAATGGATTTATTCAAAATACCACTAAGAATAAGCGAAGAAAGCACAGGATTTAGAGTCAGCAAGTAGGTGTTTAACTCCCAACTTTCTCCCTATCAACTGGGTACTATATGATTCATACAAATTAATCTCTAAGCCTCTAGTTCATCACCTACAAAATGAAGCTGAAAAGGCTTATGTCGCAAGGTTGTGACAAGGATTCGTGTCCAAAGAGGTGAAGTGCATGGTGCATACAACTATAGTGTATACCCAGCAAGTGGCAGCGACTCCTTTCTTTTTCAATATGAGCAAAAAATGGTAAATGATATTTGAGGAATACATTAATTGCATAAAAGAGAGAAATCTGACCCCAAATACTGGTTGGACTTTCATCATAATTATTGACTCAGGTTTAGTTCATGTTTTTTTTTCAGGTTTCGTTTAAATTTGTTAAATTACCTTGTATTTTTTTTTTTTTTTTGTACAGAAAGAACTATTTCAACAAAGTTAGAGCTCTAACAAATTTATATTGGTGAAAGTGAGACTTCTTTCTCGTTGCCTTGCTCTATGAAAAATCAGATGTATTCAACCTAAAACTTTTAGGCCCAGAGAGGTCATGAAAATTGAAGAAGTCAGTAAACTCCCACAAGTGTTAAAAGTAATGAACTAGACCTAAAGGTGTGAACACAAGCTATAAAACTGATGTGGAGGGCCAAAAGCCAAGGTAGATAATAAAATATACAAGATACTGCTTATGTAAATTACAAAAAAAAAAAAAAAAAACCCAAACAAAACAATATCATGTACTACTAATGGATACACGTGTGCAAGTGTAAGAATTAAAACATAGATAGGATGCTTAAACACCAAGCTCAGGGCAGTCAGTGCTTCAGAGGGAGAGAAATGGAAATGGCACAACACAAAATATCTATAATGTTCAAATTCTTAAAAATAGCCAGGTAAGGGCAAAAAAGGCTTCAAGATAACAACTGTGAAATATATGAAATCATTATGAAAATATGGTCACAATGTGTCAAACTATTTAAAAAAAAAAACAACCCATGATTATTTGATGCCATCAAAGAATGACCAAAAGCGGGCAGGAATGGGTTAAGATTTTGTGCATGTGCATGTATTTGGCTTTTTACAGAAAGGAATCATGGAATATGCAAAGGAAATTTCAACAAGGATACCTGTAATGTTTCAAGCTCTTAAAAATTATCTGGGTGATGATGGCAAAACGGACTTCATCACAGCAATTATGAAATCTTGACAAAATATGGAAAAGCAACCATAACAATGATTTGAAGGCACTGGCTGGCAAACTAAGACAGGCAGAAATGGGTCAAGGCCAGAGAAGGGAGAACGGTATGGAATGAGGTTTGCATATTTGCAGTGAGGGAAGACCCTGGGCCATGCGGCATAGGGAGAAAATGCCAAGGTTGTACCGACTAAGTAAGAGGACAAGTCAAAGTATGAAGTTCAGGATCATTGACAGAGCATCTGGAACTTGAGGGGGCAAATTTGAGGGGCTGCTAATATTTCATTTCTTGACATTGGTAGTGGTTACACAAATATTTGCTTTAGAAAAGTTATTGCGCCATACATGGGTGTTTTATGCAGTGTGAGTGTGGGTGTGTGTGGGTGTGTGTTGACTTCAATTAAAAGGTTAAAACAATTTAAAAAAAATTATCTCTTGGCTCACAGTCCTGTTGAGATTTTCCAAGGAACAGAAAAAAAAAATAGGTATCTCTAATAGAGAATAAGAGTATCCATAAAAATTTTGGCTATCCATTAGGTAAGTTAATAGACAAGGGATCCTGGTAGCCTGAAGCAGCAGAAACTAGTAAGAAGGGTTTCATTCATTCACTCTACACGTATTTTTGAAGTCTACAACGTATTTTACTCCACTTCTACAAAAATTGTCATTTAAAGACCCCTGTGTAAATATAGACCATCTCAAAGAATTCTGTCTTTTCAGTTACTTAGAAGACATTGTTGAGATGCTTTACCAAATTAGCAACTCTATGGAATCTGGAGAGATCCTTCAGCATGCTTAAGGGATGGGTCTCTATCAACAAACCAGACCCAAAAAATGGCTGTAAGGATGGTACATATATTTGGTTCCCTAAAGGGTCTTGAAGAATTCAAGGACTACCTAAATCTCATATAAAAAACAGAATTTCTTTGCCAAGCTTAACTTAGCACTGTTTTCATGGAGCCCCAATCTTTTTCTACATTATTGCAAAATGTTGCACCCTAGCATACTCCCAATCTGCCTCTGAAGAAAGTCAAGAGCGTTAGTATGAAAAACTCTTCCCACCATAGCACCTTAGATCCCTACTCAGGAAAACCTGAGCAGTGTCAACTCACCTGAAGAGAGGGTCCCTTTTCCATTAGGTGTGCTGGTTGTCCTGGGAGTAGCTGAACTCTGTTTTGCTGTAATATGAGCAGAGGTCAATCTTTTTGTTGTATGGAGACCCTTAGTCACTGGGGCATGGATAACAGTGGACTTTCGTGTTGCTGGAAGACTCCGTGTAAATGAAGTTTTCGCTGTGGTGGATCTATGGGTTGCTGGCATGGCCTGTGTAGCAGAAGCATTTGCCATGATGGGATTCTGGGCTGCTGCTGGGGTCTCTGTAGATAGAGCATTTGATATGGGGGATTTTTTGGCTGTGGCTGAATCTTTTGCTGTGGTGGGTTTCTGAGGAGTTGATGGGGCCTTTGTAGCTGAAACATGTACTGTGTTGGGTTTCTGAGGAGCTGATGGGGCCTTTGTAGCTGAAACATTTACTGTGTTGGGTTTCTGAGGAGTTGGTAGGGCTTTTGTAGCTGAAGAACTTATTGTGTCTGGTTTCTGAGGAGTTGATGGGGCCTTTGTAGCTGGAACATGTACTGTGTTGGGTCTCTGAGGAGTTGGTAGGGCTTCTGTAGCTGAAGAACTTATTGTGTCGGGTTTCTGAGGAGTTGATGGGACTTCTGTAGCTGGAACATTTACTGTGTTGGATTTCTGAAGAGTTGATGGGACCTTTGTAGCTGGAGCATTTATGGTGGTGGGTTTCTGAAGAGTTGATGGGACTTTGGTACCTGAGACATTTGCTGTACTGGGTTTCTGAGTTGATGTAGCTTCAGAACCTGGAACATTCGCTGTGGTAGGTTTCTGAGGAGTTGATGTGGGCTTTGTAGCTGATACAATTACTGTGGTGGATTTCTGAACTGGTGGTGTGACCTTAGAAGTCTGAGAACCTTATATAGAAGAAAAATGTTAAAAAATATTAGCTAAATAATGCTGTCAAGTTAAGACTGAGGAACAAATTGCTTGCTCTATGAATTCTCTTTCTCTCTCCCACAAACACCTAAATATGAATATGACTTTCAGGAGACCAAGTCTAATTATGATTTTCCCAAGGAATTGAAATGCTGCAGGTTTTTGCTTTGATATAAATTATGCCTGTAGCCAACTAAAGTGGGTTTATACCAAAGTAGTACTGAGGTTCTTAAACTGTTTTCTATGTAAAGAAAAGAAACCAAAGTCAGAGTTGGTAGTGATCTCATTCTGTGACACATCCCAAATTAAGGTATTTTCTCTCACAAAATGTTTTCCTTTGCTCATGCCAAGACCAAAGAACCAAATAGAACCACTGGGCAGACAGAGATAATCACAACATAGTTCCTTTTCTCGATGCTTTCAGGACATGTTAGTCACCTTGGGAACTTGTTCTGTTTTACTCCTTTTTAAAAGTAATACAGTCAATCTGAAAAAAAAAAAAACAACAACTCTTTTTTTCCTCTTGTGCTGGTTACCAACGTGGCACGTATTAGTTTAGTTCTTCTTTGGATTGCAGATCAGGTAACAAATACCTGAAGCGCAACCTTTTTTTTTTTTTTTAATATTTTATTTATTTATTCATGAGAGACAGAGAGAGAGAGAGAGAGAGAGAGGCAGAGGGAGAAGCAGGCTCCCAAGGAGCAGGAAGCCCGATGCGGGACTCGATCCCAGGACCCTGAGATCATGACCTGAGCCGAAGGCAGACGCTTAACCATCTGAGCCACCCAGGCGCCCCTGAAGCGCAACCTTGATTAAGATCCTATTCTGAGAATTGCAACTCTAACCATTTTGTACAGTTTTAGGTCTTCAGGGCCTGTCGGCCTTTGGGCCACTTACAAACTCCCTCCTCAGGCAGCACTGAGAAGGGCGGCCTGCTTCACCACACACTGGAGACTGTGGGCAACTTCTCTAATCCTGCTAAGCTGCGATTTTCTCATCGGTACAGTGAGGATAAAAACAAAGCAGATTTGAGAACATTATTGTAACGACTGAGAGAAGTAATTTAGGGAAGTTATTTCACACAATGCCTGTCTCTGAAGGAGCGCATTTTACCATTCCAGTGAGCAGATGCCCACACCACCAGCATCACACCCTGCTCCACTCACTCAGACACCCAGCATCATTTACGTCTGCTTCCTGCTTTTCTTCCTCAGAGGACGGTGGGGATGGGACAGCTCACGGAGAAGACCTAGCCAGGAGAGTAGGACTGACACCCTCAAAAAATGGTACATGGTATTGTTAGGGTAAGATTGTATATGGACTTTTCCTCTAAGGTGCTCATATCATACATCTTATTCTTTGTCCCACCACGTTAGTTCTCATTTTTGAGCCAGAAGACGTACATGCTAGTAGAGTGTAAGTGTCCTGGAAATTGCTTTTCTCGTTGCCTTCTTGTTATTTGATGTCTAGTTTAATTCCATCGCCATCAGCGCGCTCCAGATTATTTCAATCTTCTGAACTACATTGTGATTTAGAGCCCAGCCTATGGGCGATGTTCCATGCACACTTGGAAAAACTTCTTCCATCTGTCCTTATAGGGTTCAATGCTCTTAATATGTCCATTTTTTAAAAGAAGTTTAACCGTTGCTTCTATATTCTTACTGATTTTGGGTTGCTTATTCTAACAGCTATTGAAATAGGGGTGTAGAATACTCAAACTCTAATCATGGATTTCTCTCTTTTTCTTTCTGTCCATTTTTTGCTACATGTGGATTGACGCTTTTTTTCTCCAGTGCCCATAGATCGCAGATTGTGATAGATTCCTGTTGAACAGACCCTATTTATCATTATGAACTGTTGTATCTTAAAGCATTCTTTGATATTAATAGAACTTCACCAGCTTTTTTTTTTTTTTTTGGTAACTATTTGCAAAATATATTTTTCCATCCTTTACTTTTGACCATTCAGTGTTCTTATCATTAAATTTTGTCTCTTGTAAACAGCAAATAGGATTTTTTAAAATCAGTCTGACAATCTTACTTAAATCACACTGTGTAATTATTGATAGAGTTGGGTTTATAGCAAACACCTTACTATCAGTTTGCTTTTCCACCCATTTATTTTATGTTCCCCTTCTTCTCTTGTTTCCTTTTGGATGAAGTGTTCATTATCATTCCTTTGTTAGCTTATGATTTATACTTTCTTTCACTATTATTTTCATGGCGGCCCTAGAGATTACAGTATGTATTAGACTATAAGTCAATTATGCAAATTAACATTTTTACAGCTTTTTAGTATTGCCAGAACCTCATAACTTTTAAATGCAATTTACCTCTTATTGCCTTTTGCTCTGTTGCTATTATACACTTGTATTCGACATACACATCAAACCCTAGAAGACAATGCATTTATCATTTCGTACAGTACCTATTCATGTACCTTTGCTAGTGTTCTTCATTTCCTCTTGCATTTTCATGTTTTACTTGGGATTATTTTCATTCTACTTGAAGGAATGCTTTTACTTTGTTGTTCTGTGCAGGTCTGGTCTTCTGGTGACAAGTTCCCATAGTTTTCGCATGAGAACATCTTCATTTTGCATTCAGTTTTAAAGCATATATTCATTGGGTAAAGACTCCTAGGTGAGCAGTCATTTTCTTATCCTTAACTTGGAGGATTTCTTCTCATTGTCTTTGGCTTCCATAATTTTTGTTGAGAAGCCTGTGGTCAGGTTTGGTGTTGCTCCTCTGAAGATAATGTTGTCTTTTTGTCTCTTGATGCTTTTATTATTGTTTTGAGTTGCCAAAATTTTTGCCATGACATGTTGGGAAGTGGTTTTATTTTTATTCTGCTAAGAGTCCCGAGAACCTTTGGAATGTGCTGATGTATTTCATCAGTTTGGGAGCATTCTGTCATCTCCTTGAATACTTCTGCTCCTCTTTCTTTCTTTCTCTGTCTCTCCTCTTAGCTAACCTATGCTAGAACAGTTTAACATGTCTCAAATATCTCCTAAAGTTTTATCTATGTTTTACATCCCCTCCTCCCCCAACCCCCCCGCTTTGTGCTTCTGGGCATTATTAATGAATCTTCTTTCTTGTTCCTAATACTGTGCCCAAATCACTGTTAAACCTATTGTGCTCTTCATTTCAGATTGTATATTTTTCAAAAGTTGTAGAATGTCTACTTTATTTTTATAGATTCCAGTTCTTTGTTGAAATTCTCTATTTCTCTTTTCCTTTAATACCTTAAACATATTAACCACTGATTTTAAAGTCCTCATCTGCTAACTCAATTATCTGGATCTCCTTTATCTGGATTTATTTTCCCCTGATTTGGTTATAATTTCTTACTTCTCTCCATGTCTAATAACTCTTTTATTGTATTACTGACATTGTATATAAAACATTCAGATGGTATGATCTTCCAAGAGAGTCCCCTTTTCTGACAGGCAGACTGGTTGGAGGTGATCACATCCTCAGCCCTGGAGGGACTGAGCTGGGTCTCAGCCTTAGTGAAACTCAGTCTACTTCTACTCTTGCCTCTGTTCCTTGGGAGTTGTCCCTCTGGGCTTTTCCTCGACAGCCTGGGAATCTTTGTTTCCTCAGCTCTGAGAAACTGTGGGAGATGCAGGTCTGTCCTTCAGGAGTCCCCAGCCCAGCAATCTTGCCTCCTTCCCCACATAGCTTCAAAATGGGCACAAATGTGTTAAGGGGGACAGGAGTGTATGCTTGATTCAAGCTTCTTCCTCTGATATTTGTTGCCCAAATACCAGAAGGATCTGAGAGACTGCATTTTGTACTTTGGAAGCTTTGGGTCTAACCCCCAGTCTCCCCCGCAGCCCAAGAAATCAGCAAATGGCCCTTGGGAAAAACTGGCTCTGCACTGAGGACCTCAATTTTCAGTATATTTTTCTAGCCCACCACAACCACTAAAAGCTTGGCCAGTTTCTCTCTTTCCTGGCAGTGGTCTTTTAAGTGGGTCACGATGGACCCCCAGCCCAGGTGTACCTCAGGGTGGCTTGCCTTCACTCTCGACCCCCAGGAATTCTAGTTCATTCAGTCCTGGTCGTTCCCACCCTTGTATCTCATGCCTTTCAAAATATGACTTAAAAAAAAAAAATCTATCCAGATTTTGTAGTTATTATAAAGGAAATACTGGCCTACCATGGCCTACTCGGGCACTACCCTAGACTTGTAAGCTCTAAATAACTGATAATTTAATAAAACAGGGGAAAATAAATATGGAGTGCATCACATAGCCAGATTAAGAAGCAAACACATATCAAATTTCTCCCATAATTAAATTAATTCAGACAATATAATGAAATTCTCACCATACAGTTGTCACATCTCCACTTCATAATAACCATTACCGTTAGGGGTGCGGAGAGCCAGCGCAGTGAAGCACTATTCCTGGGAGAGTGAACTGCTACAGTTTCTTTGGAAACAATGTTGGTAACGTCTGTCAAAAGTTTAATGCATGTCCCTTTGTTCCAGTAAGTACCCTGCAAAGAATTTACTGTACAAAATGCACTTGGCACACTTGTGCAATTCCAGATGCCCAATATTTGTTGCAGCATCTTTTGTAATAATAATCAAAAAACAAACAAACAAACTAGCTAGAATCAAAAACTAAATTTCCCTCAATAGGTTAAATAAATGATATATTCATACAACTGCTATGATTAAAAACATAAATATGTGTATGTATGTTTATTTTCTAGAATCAAATGCAAACATTTGTGAACGATGGTTACTTCTGAGAGAAGGACTAGGGACAGAGAGATTTTTACTTTACATTTTATACCCGTCTGCATGGTTTTAATATTACTTCCCTGTTGATGTAAGCCATTTATAACAAACAACTGTTTTCAACAAGCACTGATATTTAAAAATTCATGCTAACATAATTCCAAGTATAATTATAAAGGGAGCTCAAGTCACCCTGGCATCACATATCACATTGCTTAAATACCGCCTACTGGGATCACTATCTAGATCCCTCAGTTTAGTCTAAGGTTCCCTCCCAACTGAAGAAAATAAACCATTTTATTTACTTTTATATTAATATTAACTTATTGAAGGGGATATGGTAAGAAATAGCAAATGCAAGCTAACTCACTAAAAACATGAGACATGTTACTTCTTAATCTGGCTATGTGATACATTTCATATTTATTTCCCCCTGTTTTATTAAATTATCAGTTATTTAGGAGCTTACAAGTCTAGGGTAGTGCCCAAGTAGGCCATGGTAGGCCAGTATTTCCTTTATAATAACTACAAAATCTGGATAGATTTTTTTTTAAGTCATATTTTGAAAGGCATGAGATACAAGGGTGGAAACGACCAGGACTGAATGAACTAGAATTCCTGGGGGTCGAGAGTGAAGGCAAGCCACCCTGAGGTGCACCTGGGCTGGGGGTCCATACATACACTGTGTGTGTGTATGCATTTATTTATTTATTCATACATTACCACATATTCTCCATATCAGTGTTTCTCCTTCCTTGGAAGTCATAGACCCCTCTAAGAATCTGATGAAAAATTGCACCCCCCCAGAAAAATAAAAATACATATATGTACCACATTTTCCATTCATTTCTCAGGGAGTTCATAGAATCTCTGTAGCCCATATATAGACCTAAAGGTATAAATAAAACAAAAATACAACAATGCAAACTCATTACCTTTGCATTCAGGTGGCAGGCCACTCCATTCTCCTTGGTCACCTCTAACAGTACAATAAATAGAGTTCTCTCCGATCAGGGTGAAGCTTTCATTACATCTATATTTTATAGCCTGTTGATACACATAAGTGTCCCGTGGATCCAGAATGAATCCATTGCTAATTTCTGGTGGTTCTGGACAGAAAATTTCTTTAAAAAAAAGTCCAACATATTTTACATTAATAAAACTGCCAATTACTTACTTTAATAAGTAAGATTAAAACATGTTAAATAACTTATTTAAAAAAAGTAAAAACCTACCATTTTTCTAAATTCAGCATTATCAACCAGGGAGCTTAGAAATACCTATTAAGTAATGAGTAGTGTATTTGGAGCTCTGGATACAAATGGTGTAAAACATGAATGCTAACTTTGAGACCAATGTATAGAAATAAGATCTAGAACATATATGTGAAGCAAAAATTACAATAAAGTCCTCACACATTACATATCAAATTGTGCTAGAAAAAGCCCATACTGCCGGAGTTCAGAGGTGAAAGCAGGGCAGAGATGTTAAGGAGGAAATAGAACTTGAGTGTAATACTGAGACATATCCTTCTGCTAAGAGAGCAGAGCAGAGGGCATTGCTCTGCGTTCCAGGAGGAAATGATGCCAAATGGAAGGAGCCTAGAAGTCAAGTGGCATACTTGGGAAATAGGAACAGATGATTCTGACAGAGTGAAATATCTGAAGTGTCAGGATTACATTTTGACTTTCAGGATCAAATTTTGTTAAGCATACATTGACGCACAGCCTTTTACTTAAAGTAAACATATTGAACAGCGGCACTCGGAAAACCGTGCTAGAGGCCCCTCCTTGGCAGTAGCCCTGATAAAAAATGCAATGGATCCACATTGTCTAGAGCCAGGAAAGCAATGTGATCATGCGTGTACATCAATTATGTTACATCGAGTGGCCTTAAGTAACCAGAGACTATTAGCAAACTGATACGTTACTTTTAAGCCGCTGACCAAAGCAAGGAACAAGAGGCTAATTGGCTTTACATGAGGCTAAGGTGCAGGCCGCCTGCACATCACCATCAGTGCCGTTCAGAGATTTTCTGAGCACCCAACACATACCAGGCGCTGTTCCACAAATGGAATTGCAAAACTAAATAAAATACTAAGTCGTAGGTGTTAAAATATAGTGAGAGTGGCGCGTGGGTGGCTCAGTTGGTTAATCGGCTGCCTTCGGCTCAGGTCACGGGGTTCTGGGATCGAGCCCTGCCCTCTCCTGCTCCCCCTGCTTGTGCTCTCTCTCTCTGTCAAATAAATAAATAAAATCTTAAAATAAAATAAAATACAGTGACAAAAAAGATTCAAAGATTTTCATTTTAATACAAAAGAGCGAGGCTTTCACAGAAGCGTGCACCATGGCGTGGAAAGAGAGAACAGTTAGCCAGCGAGGAGGTCAGGAAAAGCTTTTAGAAGGTCTATCAGAGCAAACTCTTAATAAGCAAAGAAAAGAAAAGAAACAAAAGAAAAAGAAAAGCTAAGCAAAGAAGGGGCTGAAGGACATTCTAGGCAGGGGCAGTAGCAGAAGGAAAGATGTAGGGAGGTTTGCATGGATAGAGCATAGAGTATGAGGGCAAGACATGAGTGTGAAGTGGGGAGACCATGCCAACCCTCGTATGCTTTACTAAGGAGTTTGGACTTTGTACGTGATGAGGAGACGTGTAAGTTTAAGACGGAAGAGATAAGTCACATCTGTGTTTCAGATGGATCACTCTGGGTAGAATGTGGATGAAACATTAACAGTCCCAAGAATGGAGGCCAATGCAATCAGCATCACCTTTGAACTCAGGCAAGTGGGACTCCTGCCCCAGCTCCTACGCTTTAAGAGGCTACGGCCCTCTTCTGACTGTGCTTCTCCCTACCAGTGGGGTATCTGCAGGGCTGTGGGTATGCTCCCTGAGAGCTCTTCCCCCACCCCACTGTAAATTCTGCTCTAGGAACTGGCCCTCGGAATTCCCCCCTGCAGGGCCTGAAAGTGTCCCTTCTCCCAGTCAATATTCTTTTTTTTTTTTTTTTTTAATATGGAACACTACAAATTTGCGTGACATCCTTGAGCAAGGGCCATGCTAATCTTCTCTGTATGGTTCCAATTTTAGTGTATGTATCACATGGTCCTGATTGTTATGTACACCTGTAGTCCAAAGTTCAGTGCCATGGGGGTGGGGGGAGGTCCCCCAGGACATGACTTGGGCGTGTGGGCCATGTTGTGCATTTACATGCATCAGAGGCTTCTCACAGTGCCAGAAGGGGATGCCTATTTGAGTAAGTTTGCTGTCCAAACTCACTTTAGTATCATTTACAACATCCCTTGCTAGATGACGGAAATGGGAAAGGTGGGTGGTGGGTAGTAATGCTGAAAATTTCGAAGTACTAATAATGAGAAAAAGGGGAAGTAGCAGACATAGGAGGGTAGAGCTCAAGGTGGTGTGTGGTGTAGGAGGGTATCTGGGTGTGACCAGCTTACACCTGCAAGCTCTTGGTTGGCAAGACTTCATTTTATTTGTCTTCATATCAACTGACCCCATACATTTCCTACCGCAGTGTGTCAATCAAGACACTCTTGTCAAATCCACTAAGTCTAGTCTCGTTTTCTGCTCCTAATAACACCCAAAACTTGACCTTAGCGATAATTTTAGCAAAGATGGGAGAAACAATAAAGCCTACATTTTTAAACGTTGCATTTTTTTTCTTAAGAAGAAAAAGAAATATGCTGCACATATTTTACTCCTCTCAATTTTCAGGAGACATATGCCTCTAGTGGATATAAATTTGACTGGATACATGCATTTATGATACTATTTCTATGTCCTAATCTCCCTCTAAGAAGATAAGATTTTCAAGTGCAGAAATCATATTTCTTCTTTATTGTATAACCTTATTTCTCTAATCATGAAAAATCAATCCCATTTCAAAACATTTATAGATAATTAGCTCACTTCATAACCCTAAAAGAGGCAACACTGAGTCCTAGAAAAATGATGGGTTTGATGTCCAGAGATCTGGGTTAAATGCCTTCTCTTGCCATTTATTTTGGGATGTAGGTTCAGGTCATATAGACTCTCTGATCAAGAGTATTTTAATTCATAAAATTAAAAATTATGGGGAAGAAAAACCCTGTATCTATTTTGCTTGATTGTTAGAAGGAAAGGTAGGATAATAAATGACCAACCACAATATACACCTGTTTGCTGGGGTTTTGTTTATTTGTTTTGTTTGTTTGTTTATTTGTTTGTTTTGGAGTTTGTTGGGTTTTTCTAATCCTTTATCTCTGCAGCTAATAAATTAAGAAACATTACTAATAAAGATCTTTATTTTTATTTTTTTAAAGATTTTATTTATTTATTTGACAGAGAGAGACACAGCAAGAGAGGGAACACAAGCAGGGGGAGTGGGAGAGGGAGAAGCAGGCTTCCCGCCAAGCAGGGATCCCGATGCGGCTGGAGCCTGATGGGGGGCTCGATCCCAGGAGTCTGGGATCATGACCTGAGCTGAAGGCAGACGCTTAACGACTGAGCCACCCAAGTGCCCCACTAATAAAGATCTTTAAATTAGCTAAGACACTCCTACACTGGAAGTGGGGGGTACTACAAATACACAATGTGGATAATTCTTCATGAGAGAAAGTAATTTACCATTCACTATTCAGCCTCACACTAGAGTGCTTAGGTTTTTTTTCAGTCTTACCTTGGCATTCGGGAAATGGATCACTCCACCCAACACCCTCGTCTACAAGGGAACAGTAACTAGAAGTTTCACCAACTAGCCTGTACCTAAAGCAATGAGGGGAGAAAAAAAAGTTAGGTTTCATCCACACGTTTGGCTTCCCTTAAGTTCTCCAAAATATCATCTTAAAATATTTACTACACCAGTAGATGGAGACAAAACAAGTTGATCAAAGTTCACATGGCAGTTTAAAGGAAAAGAAAAAATTAAATTAAAAAAGGTGATATACAAAGGATACAAAAGTATAAGACATACAAAACGTTTTTTATTTGGGTGGGGTCCACATGGGAAAACAGGAAAGTATTTTGAAACATTTTAAAGTGATATAGATGCTTGAATATTTTATATTTCTGAATTCTAAAAGATCAACAGAGGCTTCATAGAATAATAGAACATATTTATATTTTAAGGCTCAAAGTACTCCCCAGATTTGATATTAATCATATTAACGATCCAAGCATCTCTGTTGCGTACAGGAGACACATGATGTTGATATTTTTATTTTATAAAGAGCAGGTACACACACACACACACACACACAGAGTAAAATATCATAATTCAATATGCAGATATTTAATGAGAAAATGAACATAAAGTTTCCAGCAGTCTCTGAGACACTGATGATACCCAAAGAGTGAGTTCCTTTTCCCTATATAGAGAACTTAGAAAAGACCTCAGGTCAGCATGATATTTTTATACTAGGAGTAAATGTTTTTAACACATAATATTTTGCAACAGGCAGTTTGCATACAGAAAAAAATGCAAATTCATTATTTAGGTAAAGTAAGGATTGGTTTCACTTGAACACTTGAAGGATATAATTTCTGCAAGTGCCAACATATTACAGGTTTTTCCCTTTACTAGTCACATTTAAAATTTTATAATGAATCATATACCTACTGAAATCTAACAAGTGAGAGAATTTGGTGTTATAAAAAATTGTCCTTTCTTGCCCTCATTTTATTAAATTTAACCATGATGAGCTCATGATGAAAGATCTTTGAGCAAAGGAGTTGTTTTATAGAGACTAGCTTGTAAACACTGACCACAAGTCTAAAAACTTCCATCTTAAGTCCTAATTTGTTTTTACATTTGTTAAATATAGAGTATAAATACATAGTATGCCAAAACTTACCCCTCGTTACATGAGAAGGAGATAGATGAACCATATAATAGGTCAGTGGGTATGCTGACATGGCCATGTCTTAAATCTCCAGGATTAGGACATGATTTTTCTAGAAGAGAACACAAATTGATTTTTTTTTCATTAAATTATCAGGCACTTCTATGCAAATTCATCATCTGAACTATTGACATTTCTTATTCTTAGACTTTTTAAAATCCTTCCTTCATTTTGTAAGTTTCAAATAAAACACTATATTTAGAATATATGCTTATTACATCTTAGGTAACCTTAAACAAATTAAATGTGAATAAATTAATACTCCCATCTCACAAGTATTTAGTTGGCCTAATTTAGAACAAAATTATAAAATTACTCTAATGGTTCTTTTCAGAATCATTCAAAGTAATAATATGTACACATGGACTTCCAGCATGAATGAAGGAAGAAATACTATTTCCCCAAACACCATATGATTACGAATACTCTGTAAAATTATACTCACTTTTACAAAATTCATCTGGTTTGGACCACGTAAAATTCTGAAGGCAAGTTAGTTTTCCTGAGAGAAAACGGTCCCTTCGGAAGCCAGGTCGGCATTCATATTCCACAGTGGAACCCGCTGGGAAATAATTCTGTTTGGTAAAAGACTTTTTGAGAGATGCAAAAAGTAGCCTGGTTGGAACGTCACAGCTACCTAAAAGTATTAGGAAAAGCAACAACATAACTAATATCACCTTATTTGATAATCTGTGTTTAATTATCCAGAATTATTTGGTCCTTACATCACCCCTTTTTCTACACTTCTTTGTACATATTTGATATTTAACTATATAATAATATCACTACAACATTCACAGTATGTCAAGCACATTCACGTATATACTTCTATTTCCTAATTAGTAAATTTGGTACCTAGATATCACTATGCCTACAACTCAGGAAATATAACACATTTTAGTTGCCTGGCACAATTCTGCCACTGACCCTTACCTGCCCAAAGGAGGACAGGGGTGAGAGGAGAACCGGTATTTCCTCAGACCCCTGGGGCTAATGTCCTGAACAACAATAACAGTAACAACAATAGCTAATATTTATTGAATATTTCTAAATGTTTTATATGTATAAACTCATTTCATCCTCACAACAACCCAGAAGGCCACAGATCAGGTGAACCAGGGGTGTACATAAAAGTATTTATAAACGGTAAACACCTGGGCCAATGTGATTGTGGAGAGGCATGGTACAGTGGAAGGGACATGGACTTTATAGTCCAAAGACTCAAGTTTGGACCCTGGCTCTCCTGCATAAGAACGGCTGATTTCAAGAAGTTACTTGACTTCTGGGGGACTATTTCCCCAGACTACCTCCTTACTGAAAAATGGGGGTAAGAGTCCCTACTCCACTCATGGGGTTGTCCACTTATGAAGGAGTCAATGGAGTCAGCTATGTAGAAGCATTATAAACTCTAAAACATGATACACGTGCAAAGGCTTAAGTACTTCAACCACTGCCTTCTATCCTGCACACACAGAACCCAAAGGTTCAAGTTGATTTCACACTGGTTTCACAAAATACTCGTGGCAGTTTCTATATTTCCTGTACCTTCTATTACTCCAGGTTGTCCAAAGCTAGGAACCAAGTGTCATCTTTATCTTTACTTGTCTCTGTCAAAGTTAATATAGGACTATGCATCTAGTGATAGATTTTGAGGGAAATACAGAGAACTTTTTAAAATGCTACCACAGAGTTGTATTTGGTGAGTCCTACTTTACAAAATGAAATTTAAGAACACAGAAGACCTATGTTATGTGTCGCGAGGTGATTGCCAAACATCTTCATATATAATTTACATCCTAAATTGTACCTATTGTTTATTCTGTCTATTAGTTCAGGAGGTACAGCATTAGGTGGGGGCAGGGGGTGGGGCAGAGAACAACAACAGAAAGTCCAAACCTGTTAATGAAGAAGCAGGACCTATTCTGGGAAGTAATGTGGTCAGTTAGCTGCAGTGTGAAGTGCCAGGTATATATACCCTGGGGTTTCCTAATGCTTGAAAACTATCAATTACCACTCACGCTGAAGAGGGATAAAATTAAGCTAACAAGATACATTCCATTCCCGTAACTTATATATACAAAAATGAAGAACTTACGGCCACAAAATTCTGCCATCTCTGACCATGTATTGTTGAGACAGACCACTGAATCGGCCCTGCCAGGAACCTTTACAAAGCCTTCATTACATTTGTATGTTACTGTGGTTCCTTCTTGAAAACTCAAGAGATCTCCCAAAGTTGGTTGGGCATTAGGTACCTCTGGGGGAATGTTGCAGGCACCTAGGGAGGAAAAAAGAAAAAAAGAAAAGAAAAAACAGAACTGAAGGAAATAACACTTTTCACTTCATAGCAACATTCCTTTTGCAAGAGGAGTAAGGGAAGCAGCCAAGGCTTTTGATGCACAGGTAAGGTTTCCATACAGTGCTGAACCGACATACCAAGAATTTGCTAGGCTGCCTGTCTTGTCAATTAATTCAGTCTCAAAATAAGGACAGAACCAACCTCTCCCTTTCATTATTAAAAAAAAAAAAAAAGAGTGGTTTAGAATTGGTCTCCACATGGATACTGTTACTAAGCACACAATAAAGACAGACGCCCCCGTGGAACGTTCCACCTGGAAGACAAGATATGCTAACGGGTAGCGCCCCGTGCAGCACGTTTAAGAGGTGACAGTGGTCAACTCTGGCCTCCCACCCTTCAAAAGATGTTGGGGGATTCAGAATTCACTCTTTGAGCCCTGCCCTTCGGCTTCCCCAGGTTTGGCTGCTCCGCAAACTCAGCCCGCGCTTCCTCAATGGTCCCCTCCTCACTCCTGAAGCCGTGCTAGCTGGGGTCCAGCACAGCAAGACCCCACACTGCAGGACAGCCCGGAGATCCTCTCCCTGTCCCCAAGGGATCGTGCCAGTAGGAGCTCCGAGCCTTAAGGGTAGAGGATTACGGGAACGATCTACCCATGCCCACATTCTTCACCTCCCCGGTCCCCAGACTTCCCGGTCGTCGCGGAGACGGACCCAGCCCCTCCCACCAGCCTAAGGGTTCCCCTGGCGGGGCCGGACCCCCAGCCCCCGCTCACCCTGAGCCGCAGGTGGACCCAGCAATAGCAGCAGCAGGGGCAGCGGCCCGCGGAGAAGGTACATGGCGCCCAGGGCCCGGGATCCGGAGTAAGTGGAAGCGGGCTCCTGCAAGGAGCTGTAAGCAGCAGCCGCGCCTGGCTATGGCCCCAGGCGAGTTAAATGAGCGCCTGGGCGGGGTTGGGGCTCTGAATCACAATGGGTGGGGCGAAGAGAAGGGCGGAGGAGAGTGTAGCTCGCACCAGGTGCCGGGCAGGGCGAGGGCGAGGGCGAGGGCGGGGGACTCTCGCGGCTCGCTCCCCTAGAGACCCTAGGCTGGGGAAGGGCGATAATGGGCCGGGAGAGGGGCTCTCCGGCCGGTCGCCTGGATTCTCTTTTGCTCTTTGCTGGGGTGGGGCCTGCGCCGAGCTCCCACCTGGAAATGTAAATATCTGCTTTCCAAGTAAACAAAACACTTGGGGGGCCCGGGGGGCGGGGGCGGAGGAGAGGGGCGTGGCTCAAGCGGCCAGGGCTTCGCTCCCTGGAAATCTGAATTAGGTTAAGAGAAAATGTAGCGCTCTTGAGTGCTGCCAAGCTGAGCAGAAGGTGCGGTGGATTCCCAGGTAGCCCCTGGAAACTGAGAAAGAGTGCCCACCCAGGGACCTGGTGCCTTCAACTGGAGGTCTGTCAACTGCCAACAAGGAATGGGAAAAAACAGTGTGTGGTCTGCTAGCACACTCCGTAATCTGAAAACAGCAAGTGGGAAATGGCCCAAGAAAACAGGTCAGGCAACACAGCAAGGAGTGACCATTGTTCATACTATGTTTGGGTGGGAATCACTTTCCTCGCCAGGGTTCTCCTTATTTACCAAGGACAGCTCATGAATTCCACTTTGGGACTATTCTAGTCCGACTGCTGGGAGAAATGCACCATCCCGTGGAGTGTGCGTGTGTGATGCGAGGGGAGAAAAATGCCCAAACAAAAACCAAGCGCCAGAAAACGAAATGATAGGGTGGTGGTTTTAAGAGGAAGGTTTGTTAGAAGACCTTAGGTATATTCCAGTGGTTTGCAAGACTAGCCACACATTAGAGTGACGTGGGGAGCTTAAAAAAAAAAAAATCCAGATGCTCAAACTACACTTCAGACTACTTAGATTAGAATCTCTGGGGATGGGAAGGAAGGGGACAGAAGGATTACTTAAAGCATTCCAGGTGATCACACTGGGCAGCACAAATCTATATGGGGCTGGTCAGAGTAAAGGTCTCTCCTTCCCCCCAGTCCAGCACTGTCCCTGTCAAAAACACAAAAGGACATCATCTTTATGGAGAGTAACCCCAAGAACATTTCCCTTTAGTAATTCACATCAGTCTGGTTAGCAGAGTTCATCCTAGGTTTCCTATCCCCTCGAATACCTTCCCTGGTTAAATGAAATCCTCGACTTGGAAATACGCTGTGGTCCATGGATCAGATGTGGGGGTATTTGTGGCTCCAGTAATGATATTCTTTCCTAAATGTTTTTGATCACTCTTTTCCGGTTAGTAAGAGCTTTGTAAGAAGGAAGACAACAGTTTTCTCTGTTTCTCTGGCTCATGTTTACTGTAGTGAACTGAATAAACCCTGTGTTACCCAATGCTGGAGCCAATTGTATAGGGATTCCAAGAAAGGAACTCCTATAGGTTTTCATGGAAACCTATCAGTATTAAAACATTCTAGAGTTTAGAAGTTGAGTAGAGGGACTTTTAAAATTATCTAGCATTGGGGCGCCTGGGTGACTCAGTCAGTTAAGCATCTGCCTTCGGCTCAGGTCATGATCGACCTGGGTCCTAGGATCGAGCCCCACATCGGGCTCCCTGCTCAGCAGGGAGTCTCCTTCTCCCTCTCCCTCTTCCTCTTGTGCTCTCTCTCTCTAATAAATAAATAAAATCTTTTAAAAAAATAAAGTTATCTGGCATGATCCTCCTATTTGATATTAAAACATCTTGCTTTCACTTCCGTATGTGATATAAAAACACAAAATATATCAGGGCCCAGCAGTGTTTTAGAATTGATACCAGATCTTTGTTTATTCTCCCATGACTTTATCCACCATTCCTTTCTGTCCCACCATTATACAGGCAGGCAGTCTTTATTCCTGCTTGAGCTCATAGAACTGGTGTGAAAGGCAAGGTGGCATTATGGAAAAGAGCTGAAGGTCAAGGCCAGTTATGGAGCTGTTGAAGACTTAACTTCAAGCAAGGCCCGTTAGAGCTCTCTAAGTGTTTATTAAGTGAATGTAATACCTTTTTATCCAGGAGAACAATGAGCTCTGGATAGTGTTTTTTTAAAAAAAAGATCTCTAGCACCCAGTTTAGCTACACTAAGTGCTGTACACATTCACCTTCTAAAATATTTTGTTCTTGATAGTACTTTTTTTTTAAAAAAGGAACTTCTCCATGAATAACTGGGTGGGACTTTTTAGTAATACTATGACTACTCCCCCAAATTTCAACATTCTGAGAGTAAAGGGAAAGAAAGAAATCCACTATCCATTTCTCAATTTAGAAAAAAAGATCTGTGACGAAATTCTATGCATTAAGAAAAATGAAATATGCAAGTTTGGAACTTACTGAGAATTATTTTAAATAATGGCTTCAATGTGTTGTGTTCCAATCACTTCATACACACGACACCATTTCACCAACACCACTTCACCAAGTGGAGATAATTGCCCACATTTTACAGATGAGGAAAAAAGCTGAAAAGCTAAGTAATTTTCCAAAACCCATGCAGCTAATAAGTGACCAGGCCTGAATCTACACCGAGTTTGTCTGATTTCAAAATCTGTACTTCTCCAACTCTACATCACTACATTCTTTTTATTGGACCCAGGTGGCGAAGGTTTCTTCTGTGTAGAGGACAGTGAATTCGGTATTTTGGGAGGTGCTTTGGGAACCCAGCTGCTTCCGGTGTCAGCAGTTGACCCAAGTCCTCATACTTGACCTTCCCCAAAACTAGCTGTGTGTTCTCATTGAGTCACTCTACCCCTTAAGGCCTCATTCCTACACTGACTAAGCAAGAGTATGGGGCTGAAATAGTCTCTATAGAGCTTTCCAATTCCAAAACAATAAGTTAATGTAATTATGTCAAAAATATTTTTAAAAAACAGCAAATAAGTGTATGACTTTGGCAGAGGTTAAGGATCATGGCTCTCACTCTGTCCCAGGAACCATATAATGACTGAATCAAAGACTTTTAATAAACCGGGGAGCACATTGTATTCAGAGGCACATTAAGGATGTGCCAATACTTGTGTCCAAGCATCTGTAATCTACTAGGGAGGTTTTATGTGATTAATGTTAAGAGAATGCCACAGCCAATGGAGCGCGGGGGGTCAAAAAGAGAGAAAAGACTATGGCCATTGGGGTGGAGGAGGATAACGGCCTGGTGATTCAGCTAAATGTGACGAATGAACATCAGTGCAATAGGGAAAAAAATATGAAAGGTGATAAGAATGGTATGAGCAGGGGCGCCTGGGTGGCTCAGTCGTTAAGCGTCTGCCTTCGGCTCAGGTCATGATCCCAGGGTCCCGCCCTGCTCGGCGGGAAGCCTTCTTCTCCTTCTCCCACTCCCCCTGCTTGTGTTCCCTCTCTCGCTGTGTCTCTCTCTGTCAAATAAATAAATAAAAATCTTAAAAAAAAAAAAAAAAAAGAATGGTATGAGCATGTGTTCGCAGTCAGGAAAATGTTAGTTGATTCCAAGAATATTTAGAGGCGTAGGGGAGCGAACTAGAGCAATGGAAGAAGGGGTTGAAGAGGCTGAGAGATAGGTTGCGAAGAGGTGTGAGAGCTTTAAACACAAGTTTTCTTCCTTTTCTGCGACTTGGAAGCACTGAGGGACTGTTGAAGATCTTAAGCAGGGAAGCCCAAGGTTGGCTTGGAAGTTGTGTGCAAGATGCTGCCGTGGGAGCAACTCTGTCAGGAAAGACCCAATTTCCCTAACTGTGCAATAGTTCAGGCTGTTAAGTTTGGAGAATGGAAATGTCTTTAATTTTAGTTTTCAGATGAATAAATCTATAATAAAGAAACAGTCTTGTTACCCTACAAAACCCCTGACACAATTACTATAACCACATAAGTGTTCCTGTCTGTTCTGATGGAAGAAGTTTTGGAGGAGGAATCCACAGAATTTGCTGAGTAATTAGATAAGGAACAAGCGGGGAGAAAAAGCGTTAAGGATGACTCAGAGGTTTGGTGTCTGTGAGACCAGGGGCCCTATTTAGAAGAACTATCCATTCCAGAGTCAAGAGGGAGTTTAGGGAAGAAATAACAAATTTAGTTGCACATTGGCTGAATGTAAACTGCCAGGGATCCGTGTGCACATGTAGAGTGTGAGATGAGCATACCGGGAGACTAAGTCGGAGCCTGCATGAGACAGGGCTGCAGGCAAGGTGACCAAGGGAGAGAGTGTAAACTGAAACTCAAACAGGCAACCCCCCACATTCAAGTATAGACACTAAAGCGGAAGGAGAGGGGAATGGAAAAAGAGGAGGATGGTGCAATTTCCTGAAAGCCCAGGGGTACCAAACTGTGAGCCAAATACTATCACTCTAGTTGTAGGTGAGGCAACCCGGTGTTTAGGAAGTTTAGTAACTAGCCCCAAACCACAGGGCTTGTGGGGATGGAGCTGGGCTTAGGATCCTTAGACCCTCTGTTACATTGCTCAGGCATTGCCTCTTCCAGGAAGGTTCCCCTGCTTACGCTGTCAGACCCAGTCACCTCCTCTACTCCCCTCCTCTACACCTGCCCTGCCTCTGGCTTCCCCATGTGTGAGGAAAGTCTCAATGACCAACGAAAGTATAATGGCTGACTCACATAAGGGAATACTACCCAAAGTCCTCCATGTGTCTGTCAGTCCTCCAGTCTAAGAGATCCGTCTATTTCATATTCACATTCAGAACTCTGCCTAGAATGATTCCCAATTAATCTTAACATGGCCGAGGAAAAACAAAAAACTTTTTATTGAGGTATTTTGCCATGCAGCTGCAAATGAGAGCAGCTGTAATGTGCACAATAACCCCATTCTGTGGGTTTCCTCTTTGTTTCATTGACTATTTCCTTTGCTGTGCAGAAGCTTTTTATATTGATAAAGTCCCAATAGTTCATTTTCACTTGGGAGAAGATATTTGCAAATGACACTACAGACAAAG